GGTACGGCGGCTCGCTGCCGCCAAGGCTCGGGATGCTGGGCGGGAGGAGGATGCGCGGCAAGAGGCGGCTGCCAGGACGCCTGTTTTCCCTTTGTGTCTTCTGGGACCGCAAGGCAGGCCGACTCAGCCCAGGGTGGTCTACTTGGGGAGGGCCAGGGACCTCCCTGGAGGGCACCCGAGCATGGGGAGTGCTGTCCTGCCCAGGAGTTTTCCCGTCCACCCTTCCAGGGCCCTGGCGTGGCGGAGAGGGGAAGGAAGGAGTTAAACCCTCAACCCACATGGCTCCTTTATTTACCATGATGAAGGAGGGAGGCCATTATAAGAGCAGGGGGTCATTAGGGGACAGCCTGTGATGTCACCACAGGTTTACAAAAGCCACTAAAATGACAAAGTGCGCAAGCTGCCCCCTCCTGTGCCCCTCACGGATCCGGACGCTCTGAACCTGGAGAAGGCCCCTGAACCAGCTGCCTGAGCTGGTCTAAGTGAGCAACATACCCCCACCCCAGGCCCCAGTCCCCACCGGCTGGTGGTCCTGTGTTCTGGGCTGGGAGCAGCTGGGTGCTGGGCTTCCTGGTCTGTGGGGCAGGCGGCCAGACTTGTGGTGTCTCTAAGACCCAACTTGCTCAGGAGATGTGGCATGGCTCAGCCCAGCAGGGTCTGCTTCCTGCCCAGGTGGAAGCTGAGTCTTCCAGAGGGGCCCCCTGCTTCCCTTGGCGTTCTAGGGGGAGGTATCCTGACCCCTGGAAAGTTGGGTTTGCCCTCCCAACTTCGCTCATGTCCACCTCCTGGGCCTGTAACCCCTGAGCTGGAGAGTAGGTGAAAACAGAGCAAACTCCATGGAGGGGGCTCCTGGAGGGGGGCTCTGTGCCTGCCTTCTCAAGCTCTGTGTGGCCCAGTGACAAGGTCACCCACTGGCTATGTGCCACTGTCAAATGAGGGTAATTAGTGTTTCTCTCCTGTCCTGTGGCTGGGAGCACTAGGGGGCTAGCAGAGCCGCACAGCAGAAGGGACTCTGAAGGCAGGGCCCCACCTGGCCTGGGCCAGGGTCCTCTAATGGGTGATTCCCAAGCCTGACATGAAACGGAACCCTGAGACATGGGGAAAGGAGGCACTGTATGATGTGGGTTGCAACTGGGCTGCACACGTTCCAGCTGCGGCTGTGCGGGTGGTACTGAGGCCCTCGGAGGTCCTCACCTCTGCCCCTCCCGGCAGGACCAGGGCCAGGCACAGGAGTCTCTGGGCAGCACTCTGGTCTTGCCCTGTGATGAAGGGAGCAGTCTGGAGTGCGCCCAGGGCAGGCACTTGGGACCCCCAGAGCTGCCGCCCCCCTGACCCCTCTTTGTGTGTCTCACAGTGAACATCTTTCTGACCGGGCGGCTGAGCAGTGCGGTCCCCGCCTTAGGTAAGTGAGCTGCTTCTCTTTCCTCTCCCCTCGGGACCCTCTGGGTTGGTGACGTCTGGTGACAGGTCCTGGCTCTAATCCTTGTGTATCTTTTCTGCAACACAAACGAGCTGTCGGGACTTGGGCAAGCTGTTGGGACCGGGCTTCAGTTTTCTCTTCTGTAAAATGGGTGACGGAACAGGATTGACCTCGGAACCTGGTTGTTAGAGTTCAGGGAGGCGTGATGGTCAGCATGGTGTCCGGCACACGGGGCTGAACACCACTGCACACTGCCTGGCGTACTTACAATGCACAGAGGGCACGGGATGCCCCGAGGGCTGGGAGATGCCCAGGACGTAAAATAATCCCCTGGGTTGAATTTTATAGAGGGAGCGCTGAGTGACAAAATAGACAGGCATGCACCACTGAAAGAATTTAATACTTTTCTTGAGCGATGAAGACACACCGTGTAACATAGGGCCACAGGGGAATTCGTTGGCTTGGTCTGGCAGAAGCCTGAGTAATGGGAAGGCATTAGCCAAGGCCTTTATTGGGGTTCCTTCAGTAGAACACGGGCTAGAGCCTTGGGCTGGTTAATGTGAATAATTCTGGCAGGCTTGGGCTATACAGGTGCTCTCTGGTTCCTGGGACCTGGTCTTGGGGTGCTTTAGGGCAGGGGAGATATTGGCCTGGTGGATGATGGTTAGGCTGGAAGGTGGTCGAGGGCACGGCCTTGAGTCAGCTGGTCTGCATGTGACAGGTGACAGTGTGTGCTTCGGTTACAAAAGCACATGGAGTTGAAAAAAGCACAGTCCACACCCCTGCCCGTCAACGTGGGTCCATCCACCCACAGGCCATCTTTGGGCTGTGGCCTAGCGCCAAGTGCAGCAAAGACGTTCAGAAGTTGGGCCAGTAGGTGCAGCGGAGGTTACAGCAGCTGGATCCTGTATGGCCAACTGAGCAGTTTGAATCCTGGACCTGGTGACTTAAAAACATGCCAGGCAGGACCAGCAGGTGGCTTGGTGGTTAAGGTCCTGGACTCCCACATCGTTGACCATGGTTCAAGTCCCAGCCCTGGGGGCTTGAAACTCATGCTGGGCACATTATGTGCATGCATCCTCAAAATTCTGAGAGGAGAATGGAGGAGAAGGGATTGCAGCATGGCCGCTCCCCCTGGGCGATGATTTCTCTACTTTCTGTCTCCATAGCTGTCTTTCCAAAGAGCACATGTACCCTATAGCAAAAATCTTTCCAAAAAAATCCCCAGAAAACAAAAAAACATGCCAGGCACGTGTGTGTGCATGCCCAAATTCTCAAGAGGAGACCGGAGGAGAAGGGATTGCAGAGTGAAGGGATTGCAGAATGGCCGTACCCCCAGGGGGATGATTTCTCACTTTTCCTCTCGCTTTCTCTTTCTGGTGAATGCACCAAAATGTAAACTTAAAAAAAAAACGGAAATGAAAAAGACTTGTCAGGACAAAAGGGGAGTAGCTGAGGGGGGTGCCAGGGGCCAGAGAATGGATATGACCATGGTGCCACCCAGAGAGTGCTGAGAAGGGCCCCAGGGAGCCTGTTCTATCATCGATAAACCCCATGAACATCACCATCTCTTGCTAATTCAGCCTCTATACCACCTTGTTCAGCAAACTCTGAAAAGGTGCTAAAGTAAGCACAGATATTTACATAGAAACGGTAAAAAGTGTGTATTTACATAAAAACGGTATAAAGTGTAGCCTGGGGGAGGAGGGGGTAGTTCCTGGTCTGAGGAGCTCTGACTGGTTTGTCTGCTCTGCTGCATGATGGGGTGGGAGGTTGCTGGGCTTGCTGCAGGACCCCAGGTGTTGGGACCCAGAGCTCTCAGGAAGAGGACCCCTGCCAGCTGTGGTCACAGGGCCTGCGGAAGCTGCTCTCAGTGGCCTGTGTCCCAGACTCGGCCTCTGTTCGCTGCGTTCCCTCCCTGCTTCTCTGCACCCGCTCTGCTGACTTGGGCTGGCCCAGGGCCTAGCCTTGCTCAGCACTGACCCAGCCCCAGCCCTGTCCGTCATCTGCCCTAGCCCCACCAGTGGCCCAGTCTCCCAATCTCCAGGAAAGACTGACTGGCCTGGCCTGGGTCAGGTGTCCATGGCCACGGTGGAGTGGTGGGAAGGGGGTGCTGGGAATGTCAGATCTTACAAATGTGAGCCCCAGGCCAGCCCTTCTGTTGGTGTCATGGGTGGGCGTGTTGCCCCAAACATTTTTCTGCCACATGCATGTACCCCAGGATTAGGAAAGTGGTGCTCCAGGGACAGGGCCACTCGGAGAGCCAGGCAGTTGTCCAGGCCCTCATTTTGTTTGTTTTTAGCTCTCGAGACCACAAGCCCCAGCAGGGACTACACTGGCCGACTCTAGGGCCTGCTGTCATCCACTGTGTTGTGAGCTGCGTGCACAGTCTGCCTGGCCATAGGTGCGGTCTGGGGTGCGAGACATCCTACAGTCCAGCTTGGGTCCCTCTAGCGCTACTGATCAGCTTCTGGCTGCCCGAGGCGCCCCTCCTGCCTCAGGCCCGTGGCTGCCTTTTCAGGGCTTTCCTTGCGTTAACGCCACT